AACTCAGAATGAAATCTGGCGGTAAAAACCTGGATACGTTCGAGGGTGGGAGTAGTTGAAAAGTATATAACGTTAAAATTGAATCAGCCAGTTATATTAAGGACAATGGCAGACACTCGGCTAAAACAGACACCATTGGGGAATAAGTTTGATGAACAGGGCAGTACTAAGTCAGTAACGCCCAGTGTTCTGAACATAAAAGCCAAAGTTAATTAAACACATCAAGAAGCTGAACGCGCCTGCACTACTGACGTCACAGTAAGACCCAGATCAGTGACAAGCGTAACCAGAAATTTGACTGGCGCAAGTGGGAGGTGCTTAGTTTGAAAATTTATAAACACAAACTCCGCTTTTTGTATACATGCACAGGGTTTGTTCCAAAAACTAGACATCTAAACGTGTAGATGCAATATGTGCATCTTGATGTCATGTCCATCGCGTAAAATTTGCTGCAGGCTGAATTTAGGATAACGAAATTGCTTTCAATGTATGCAAATCTTCCCTCGAGCCCGATTGCATAAAAAATAGATGTTTAGCATTTTATTGTAGAACCCGAGCACACGGGGCCCTTGGATAGTGTAACTTCCTTCCAATAAGGTTTTCGTCTGCGTCAGCTATCTTCTGGTTGTATGAACCCACTGTAAATCCAGTAGAAACTTCGCTAGTTATCGTGGCAACCCAAAGGGGTGGACAGCAGATTTAAATGTTAATTGTTAGGAGCCGCATTAACAGACTTGCTCATATCCAACCCGGACGAAACGCTTTCACGCCACACTACCGGTCCGCCTACACATAAACATCGGCGCGCACGCGCAGCTATCAAGCTGCCGACACAACGCGAGGCTGCCGAATAGGGATCAGTCAATAGGGGTGACCCAATCTGATTGCCAATCGAGTGGTTACTCGCTCTAGGACACAGTTTGATTGGTTCTATCTTATAACGCTTGCTTGCTTAAATATCCGTATTAGGTACGCAATAAAGACTTCCTTTTCTCGCGTCTGGGACTGGCAGAAATTTTGGCTTTTGTCAAAATTACAACAAATTGGCGACGCAGAACTCGCCATGTCTATACCCACGGAACTGTTGCAGACTAACATGTAGCAACGACAAGCTGAGTTTGAGGTAACTCACCTTAAGCTGACGGAACCCTTGATAGAGAAGTTCATTTTGCATTTTCCCGGCTCAGAATCCTCTGGGAAGCAGTCCATGTCAGTCGATGCAGCTGCTGCCTTAATCGCCGAATTTATTTATGATCCCGACTCCTGCGTGACTTTTGACGCTTGGTTTAAACTTTTGGAAGACAGCTTCCGTGTGAATTTTTCCAAAATGCCAAGCATCTGTCAGGGACATTCGGGGAGAAGTCCTAACTGTTCAATATTCGATGCCAGGGTCTCAAGCTGGTGAAGAACGAGACAGTCGATTTCTTGACGTCCGCCAGTATAGTCAATCACGAGTGTGAAAATTTAAAGCTGGAATCTATGATAGAAGACCAGTTTAAATATCTCATATTTGTGTGCGCTTTACAGTTACCTCGTGATGCTGAAATCAGAACTCCTCTACTCAGAAAAATTAAGGAGGACCCGGACGCAACCATACGGACATTGACAGTCGAGTGCCAGCGGCCATATTAAGTATGATTTTGCCATCCTGGAGCAATCCAGTTCCTCGCTTGCTACCTCCAGCATTCATGCTCTCATCCGCACGAAGTGCATGCCCCAACATAAGCCCCAAGGCTGCACACCCAGAAAACTACCAACCGCAGATTGCCAGTGTGGCGACAGGCCTCTCGTTTGCTTTGGTCCATTCAAGAAGCACTTTTGTCAGAAATGCCATAAGGCCATGCCGGTAGGCCATACCTTCAAATCAAAGGCAGACGACTGGAAGATGAGGTGGGTCAAACGCTATTCAACTTATTCCGGTCTAAAGTGTCACTCAATTCTACCCACATTCCAGACAGAAGTTGAGGCACGAGGGCATTATCTTACGGTTATCATCAATGGCAAACCAGTGGGCCTCAGGCTTGACACAACCTCTGATATCAGCCTCATCTCCAAGCACATTTGGCAGATGATTGGACGGCCTCCGATGATAATATTGAACAAAAAAGCCATGAACGTTTCTGGAGGAT